AAAAAAAGGAGTGAATGGATTTGGATTATTGTAAGGTGGTTGTGTCCACACACTGCTAAGACACATTTATATGCAAATTAAGATATTTTGCATCCAATGTCTCCTTTAAAATTAAAATATTATAATCTTAATTCAAGTGATGAAGGATTTCGAAAGCCTGACAGTTATCAGTGTTGAGCACATATTGCAAATGTAACCCTGCCTGGTTAACCCTGCATTCAAATCATGTTTGAAATTGATTAACAGTTGAAAACATTAGAAATTTAGAAAAGTAATCAAAAAGTAATCAAATGTAATCAGTTACATTACTTTAATAAAGTAATTGAAAAGTTACACTACTTATTTCATTTTAAGTAGGGTAACTTGTAATCTGTAACCTATTACATTTCCAAAGTAACCTTCCCAACACTGGGCAGACGGTACCGCAGCATCAGGACCCGATCAAGCAGAGTGTGAGACATCTTCTTCTCGCAGGTCATCAGACTACTGAACTCCAGATAGTAAAACTACAATCACCCACCTACCCCTACCCCTCACACTGGACTCCATCTACACACCAGCACACAGCACACTGACAGCACTGTAGCATGTCCTGCACTGCATAGCAAGAACACATGCAGCTACATCTTCTCTTCTGCACTAACAAACTACTGCACTGAACTTCACAGTAAAACACTACAGTATACATCACTGTAAGTCATATATAAAAGCTATACATTTATAAATCTCTTGAGTATACTGTGTACTACGTGTATATTATGGAAATGTGTATATTGTATATTGTGTACAATTGTCTATTGTGAAAATGTGTATATTGTGTAAAATGTGTATATTGTTATTTATGTATACTGTTAATTTTTCATATCTTGTTGCTTGTACTGCCATGGCACAGAGTCTTGTACCCAAGAATTTCACCATTGTTACACTTGTGTACACGATGTGTGACAATAAAGAGATTTCATTTGATATGTGAAAATAAGTGTATAATTGTAACAGTTCTTTGCTGGAGCCGAGCTGAATGAGAAAGAGAGAGAGAGAGAGAGAGAGAGAGAGAGAGAGAGGAGAGAGATGCAGAGCCTGTGCAGAGAAGGGGGACGCGAGGAACAGTATTAACATTAATAAAGTGTTGGGAATAAGTACATAAAATTATTTATTTGAAAAACAACAGTAATTTTCTGTAAATCTACGTCAGTTACGGAAACGTCTGGTTAAGCGGATTCTCCGCAGCTTTGGCGCCTCCGCTCTGTAGCTGTGACAAGTCAGGATTGTATTATATATTTTTTGTTGTTGTTAAATTAACAAAATCACTGGTAAATAAAACACACCTTAGTATCGATATTGTTTGTTTGAGTATCGAAACTTTCGATACTAGTCCCAAAAATGGCCACAAAATATTATTTTACTAACTTATTAATTTTAAGTTAAATTGTGCTTTGTTGGTATAATGTGTGCTAAAATGTTAAAACATGTTCCGTGTTAAATAAGTATTATTTTTTTAATATTGTACACTAATACAAAACAACAATTTAAAAATAATTTATTCCATGTAGTGTCCATTTCATTTATTTAACATTTAATATTGGAGGCATCCAAGTTATTTTACATATTTGAACTTTTTTTTTTTAAGTAACGCAATAGTTAATTTCCCTGGTAATTGGTTACTTGTATAATGATGTAACTCAGTTACTATTTGTGAGAGGTAACTAGTAACTACAACTAATTACTATTTTAAAGTAACTTGCCCAGCACTGGTCACTACTATTGCACTATAATGCTGCTTCTGCCAGATTATAACAATAGATTTACACTTCAAATTAGGTAGTCTGTCATCAATAAAAGTAGCTCATTGGAAAAGGATGGAAAATGCCCTTCATTGTGTTTGCACTAATACATGCTGCTGCTAGCCAGCTGCAATCACCAATAAAACGTTGTTCCATATTTTTTTTCTATATTGTCATAAATATCATTATCGCAAATATTCTTGAAATATCGTGATATAATTTTAAGGCTATATCGCCCACCCCTGCTTCAGACATAAAAATGCTGACTCGTTAGGTGATGTTTTCTCATTAAAATCGTAGTTTACTCTTAATTCAATAGAATCCAGGGAATAGCAATATGGCGGCGCGGTGGCTTCACTAGTTCTCTATTATCAGTGGTGTAAACATATAATAATGGATTACTACGGTCAAGTGGACTTAACAGACACAGGCACACTTCTCGCTTCTGGATTGCAAAATAACAAAAGCGCTTGAGTGACGAATGCCTTGACATTATCGCATTTAGGAACAGTTGGCAAGATACAGTTAGCGTGATAATATTTATAAATAATAAATTGTAAGTGTATTTCCTTAATTTCCCAGCACCAAATGCAGAACAGTTAACATTGCAGCTTATTGATACGATGGTATTTCGTAATTTAGCCTCAGGGCTCGTTTAATACTGGGTTCAGGTATTCATTCCTACTTACAAGAGAAGCACAGAAGGATCAGTTGCATGACAGTATATCTTGCATCTGCATTTCCTAAATATATCTTAAGTGGAAGAATAACTTTTAGAAACAAATCTCAGTCTCGTTTAAAAGTGTTGAACAAGAACAAGAACAGTTTGCAAAAGTGTCTACTTCATGAAAGAGTAAGCAAACTACAAGTGACACATACATTAAAACACAACTGAACACAATATGAAACTCATAGGAAAGTAAAATGACAATAATTATCATGAAGCAAAATGATAAACAAGAATACAACGTTTTGGACATTGTTCTTTGGGGAGGAACTCCATCTTTGAGTTGATCTGAATCTCACAGTTGAGATGAAGATGAAGATTAACTTTATTCACTGTGAAAACTTTAGAGCACATTTGGTGAGAATGCAGCATCAGGTCTGAAAGTGCTGGATCTGAAGATGATCTACTTACTGTGAATGTTTTTTGTATGACTGTGTAGAGCAGATGAATGACTGAAACACTTCCCACATGCAGTGCAGTGATACGTTTTCTCTCCAGTGTGGATCCTCTCATGTGTTTTCAGGTCTCCTGACCGACTGAATCTTTTGTCACAGTGTGAACACTTGTACGGTTTCTCTCCAGTGTGAATACTCTCATGCCGTTTTAAATGGCTCGCTGAAGTAAAGGTCTATTTTCTGATGTTGTTTTAATTGTTTTTGACATGAAAAACTCTTTCCACACAAATAACATGAATGTGGTTTCTCCTTTGTATGAACTCTCAGGTGACTCTTCAGTTCTGAAGCTCTCAAAAATGTTTTGCCGCATTGATCACATGTGTGTGGTTTCTCTCCTGTGTGGATGTTCATATGTCCTTTGAGGGTTGACGAGTCTGAGAAACTCTTCCTGCACTGATCACAAGTGAATGGTTTCTCTCCAGTATGAACTCTCATGTGAACATCAAATTTATATTTGCTTGTCAAACTCTTTCCACACTGAGTGCAGGTGAAAGATTTATTGGCTCTTTTCTTTAAAGCTTTCTGTTCGGTTTGAGAGCAACTCAAAGGTTTTTCTCCAGTTTTAACATGATTTCTCTCCTCAACTTCACTCAGTTCTTCATTCTCCTCATTTTCTTCATTTAACTCTGAAATAAAAGCAAAAATTTTTTTTTTTCAGTTAGTCATAAAAACAGAGAAATGTGAAAGGAGATAAAAAATGAACCCTGATGTAAACATATATATATATATTTGATACATTTTATAAATGTCTCTCTGAAACTTTAACTATTTGTAAGTATTATAGACACAAATCACATGTTTCTACAGAGAGAACTATTAAATATGTTTGATCAACAACAAAATTATCTAACATACATTAATTTTGTTAAAAAAGTACCCATATTATAGAAAGTGTCTCTTATTATATGATGCTTCCTCTAGATTATTCAACAGCTCTAAAGATTTTTCCTGTTACAACAAATCTAATACTGTTTGAAGCTTTATAACATTCAGCCTCATTAATGAAGAATAACCACCAACCTGTTAGTTCTTCAGTATCTTCAGTGTGTTTGATTCTGCAGGGTTCTGGATCTCTCATCTTCTCTCTGTCCTCTTTAATAAACTCAGTCT